TGGTTCTTGTATGCTGAAATTTATGGTTTGTTGTCGTCACTACTATAGCCTAGAACCATACAGATAAACCCACTAATACATTCAGAAATAAGAGACAAGGAACGTCTAAAGCTAGATTTTTTCCTCTTACAGAATAACTAATCATGGTTCACTACTGTGGCTCAGACGGAAAATAATCAAAAGCAAAAATGAAACCGATATCTACTTAATTTCCAATCACCATGTGATCAGCTTTAAAACCCTACTTAATCTTTCTGTAATCTACTTTAACACATACAACATTTAACAGCTTTAACAGCAACAACACAAAATTCAATTTACAAAACCATATTCTTAACACAAATGTTCACATTTAAAGCACATTTAATTTTATTAAACAGTCGAAGCGACGCCATTTAAGCCACTCAATTGCACGCAACTAACGATAGTAATTATGCGTTCACATTACTAACGATTACCTACAATTACGCCACTGACGCCTCCATGTCTGGTTAGCTCACCGGTTTGCTCACTGACTTGCTCACTGGCTAACCGGGCGCATTATCGCATGTAAAGGCATTAAAGGTGGTGGGTGTAGTGAAATGGTTACATTGACCGAACATTGGGACTGGAATATTTAGTAGTGAAATTGCTAAAAGTGAACTAGCATTAAATAGCACACAAACAGAGGCAAACACTTAAAAAAGTAAACAGTTTTTGCACAAAAGCCAAGGAGAGAAAGTATTTTAATTTTTTTTTAACTTATTTGATTTTGCTTTCCAGGATTGCCGGAAAGTGGTTTTGTCTGGCTTATACCATCGACATGCAAACTTACTCGCAGGCAGCTACATACATATATATGAGGATGTGTATGTATATGTGTATGCATGTGAATGTAAAGCAGCTTGTTTTTGTCCAGCATTAACATTATCGAAAATTTTTGTTGCACACATTCACAGCGCTTAAAGGATATAGTAAAATCTGTGAAAATTGTATGTTGATACTGGGCCATTAGGGTACAAAATGAAAAAAAAAAAAAAAACAATTTACAAGCAACCATGTTAAGGCTTAAATGTATATGTGTGCATGTATGTTCGTGCTATTTGAGTGTGTGTGTTTTGTACGGCAACTGCTGCCGCCACTGCAATCGGCCATTGGCAGTAAAATCCAGTTGCCAAATTTGTACGCCATTTCGACAATCAATTGCTGACCGACTGCTGGTGATATTTTCATGATGTCTTTTTTAGCAAAAAGTTGGAATTTTTATGCAGTAGGCAATGTATATTAAATTTAATTTTATTTTAAGATCTTTAAAACGGAATCTCAAAATTTTTTTTGGTTAAACTTTCAAAGTAATGATTGTGAGCCGACATTCGATTTTTGCTCAATTGATGCATATTGAACTAAATATGTATTGCCCCAGGAAATCTATAAATATTTAAAGAAATGTGAATTTGGAGCTGGTACAAAAAAAAGATAACATTAGAGAGCAAAGACCAAAGAATTCAATGACCTTTCTCCTCCGACTATACGGCTCCTAAGGGAAGCCTCTTGAAAATAACTCTATATAAAATTATGACTAAAACTACAATAAAAACTCCAAAAATTGTAATTCCTAACTGTATGAAAATTTCCATAAAAAAGTTTCAACCCTTAATTACACTTCTTATATTTTTTAAAGGGTAACTAAGAAGTGAAATATAGATTCAGCGAAAACAAAAAAAAAGTAAAAAACGTCCGATTTGCAAAAAATATATTTAAGTACGTAAGCTCCAATACACTTCTTAAAATTGTCGTTAATTTTGAAATAAAATGTGAAATTTTTTCTCGTTTGGGTTAAAAAAAAAACAAACAAAATTTCAAAAAAAATTTATTTTTCTTAAATGGGGCTAACTAACATTGAGTTTACACTAGGCATTAAATGAAGAAATTGCAGCCACTATGTTGGGCATTAAACACTAACCGTTTCATAGTGTTTGTTTTCACATGTCATTTTTAAAATGGTATAAATTTTTTGTCATTTCGTTGCCTAACGGAAATTTGGGGAGAATTTATGAAGTTTCTGTTGAATGATCATATTAATGTCTTAGTAAAGAAAAACCTTACCTCTTTTTAAAATAGCTCTAGATATTGAAATCGTTATGAACAATGTATGTATGTATGCTTTAAAAGTTACTTATGTACAACAAAATTTTGGTCAGATAGCTGTGTTTTTTTTCTTTATAAAAATTAAGTAAATTACGGAAGTCCTGTCGCTTCCAAAAATCGAAAAAGAGCTCTGGGTACGTCTATTATGAAAAATAGCTTGGACTTTTACCTCATGGGTATAGTACATTCATTTTGAGATGGATTCATTGGGTCCTGAAAGTGGCTGTTGCACTCGTGTACTATATTAACTCATGTGTCTGAAGCTGCATCTGCTAGCTAACCTAATTGATTTATTTTTGCTACATATTACCAGTGTTGCCATTTTAGCCGTTTTCCGGCTAGATTTAGCCGGTTGTGATAGCAAACAGCCGGAGAAATTTCGATTTAGCCGGCAGCCGATTTGTTAGCCGTTTTGCAGAAAAAATTAGCCGATTTTGCTATTTGCCTTGTTTTCTTAAATTTCAAATATGTATATATGTTTCCATTTTTGACTAAGCGACCCAAAATCTGTTAGAAATGGCTACTAGCCTACCCGTGTCAGGCAGGGTTGTATGGAATTGGGCCGATTTCGCTTATTTTTATTTTAAACGAAGAAGGCATTTTCTTCATAAAATGTTTGTTATAAACTGTCTTAATTTTAAGTGTGAAGTTTTATTCGCAAACTTAGAAAATAAGAAATTGTTTCACTGTTAAGACACTTAAGATGCGTTTGTGTTTGGATATAGTGCCAACAAACAGAATAAATATTACATGTAGATATTGTCTTCCCAGATAGCGCATATTCAATTCTGCCTAAATTACAAAACATCATTTTTGCCCACTCCCAAAGGTTTAAGGTAAGGGAAAAATTGATATTTTCAAGCACTATGTACACATATATATTTTTTTAAACAAACTTTTTTGCTGAGAACTTATTTAAATTCCAAAAACCGAATGCCAACTTGAATTAAAGGAACCAACACTGAAGTGAGTCAAAATGAAAATAAAAGAGCACAAATTTCTATGTAAAGCAAAACTCTCTGGGAATCCTACGAGACATCTGCCGGTCATATGACCGGTCATCTAAATGGGAGATCTGCAGTATTTTGGCATCATATTTTACATCAGAATTGAAGGGATTTCTGAAAAATCTGACCTGTTCTTTTGTGTAACTGTGATTTTGCATCCCTTGTCAACATATGGCCTCGATTGATGTTAACTTAAGGTCGTTGTTTTGCTGGCTTAAAATTGGAGGAAAATTTTTACGGCGTCTTTTATGTGTACTGGTTTCTATTTGAGTGTATTGAGAATCGGTCAGTCTGAAAAGGCCTTCTAGGGAAGACAATAGGTTTGTTCGTCCAAAATCTAGCGAAATTATCACTCAAGATATCACATAGTAAGAAAAAATGCTCCCAAATTCTCTCTCATGTAGAGAAACTTGCAAATTTCTGTACGAACGTAAATTTGCAAGTTTTTCTGCCAGCTAGTGTCCACGGTTGCATTTCAAACAAAAGAAATTTAACGAACTTGTTTATTCAAATTATCGTCGACAAAAAATCCAACCATGTGCCACAATCATATGTTTTTCCTAATTGCAAATTCTTGTTGGCAAAATTTTTTCCGGCTCGAATTTGTAACTTCTCTCCAAGATATAGTGTTTTTACTCGTGATTTATTTAAATAAAACATGTGAAATTTAGTTAAAACATTTTAGCCGTTTTTAGCCGGATTTATTTGCCAATTTAGTCGGTTCGGCCAAAAAGTTCTGGCAACACTGCATATTACTCAATTTTTTTACACAAGTATTTTTGCGACAATATATTTTCTAAAAATTTTAAAACCTCTTCCTTTGCAGCACATATTGCTGTACTGGATAAAAATTACACCCAACGGTTGTATCAAGCAACATAGAATTACCACATCGAACGGCAATTGATGTCACTATCTGCTAAAGCAATCCTTTATTTCGTCATATATATACCTATCTATTTATGCATGTATGTATGTAGAGACCCAAGTAAGGTTCATATATTTAACTGAAAATGGTCTACCAGGTAGATGGGCTTGAATTGGCACATTGACGATAGGCAGATATGCACTTCAATCAAAAACATATGTATATTTACTAGGGTGGTCCTTAAAAATAAAATTAAATCATTTTTAATTTATAATTTAAGGCGTGTCGCAAATGGGTCAAAGGCCAGAAGCCTCTATGGAGACACAAAAAATTTAAAATATTTTTTCATACCCATAATCGATACTACTAAAGTCGAAGATATCACATGTAAATTTTGGTTCTGACTGCAGTCGGTTAAGACGTTTTCATAGGCTAATCTGAAGTTTGACCCCTGTGCGACACGCCTTAACCGTCTCCAATCGGGACCAAAATTTGTATGTGATATCGTCGACTATGTATATATCATCGACGTAGGGGTTGCGGCTTAGGAAATCTGATGTAAAAATTTGCTTCATACATTTAAGGATCACCTTAATATTTACGTATGAACCAGTACGTACTCGTACGTAAAAATATGAACAATGCGGCCTATCTGTCTGGGTACTATGCTGGTTGAAAGCTTTTATTGACAGGCGATTGAGTGTTGCACAGTTAGTGCTGTCACGAATCCGAATGTTTAATGCCATTAACACCAGACACGGCATGTTCGATATGCACACACAACCAACGTGTTATGTCAGTATGTATGCAAAATTGCTTGTATATGCATCTAGGTACATACAAATGTATGCTATATAATCATGATTGTAGTTTCACGAATGTGTGTGTATAGGCCTGTATTTTGTTTATAACCCATACTACCCATGTCCATGCTATGTAAAATATGTACGATTATATGCTCGCATACTTGTATGTAAGTTAGTTTTTGTTTTACTCACCTTCCGTATCACTGTTGTCCGATACTGGCGGCTCACTTGTAATATACTGACGTCCACTCAATAAATTGCTTTCGACAATGGGACGTTTGTCCTCCAGTTGACGTCGAAAGGCTTTATGATCATCCTGTAAGTAAAGATAAGTGACGAAGAAATTGATACATGAATTGTTGTGGTAAACACTTTATGTGTGTAATAAATTAGATTTTGGGAGTTATGTAAGTCGTAATGAAGAAATGTAAATTATTAACAAACACGAATTAGTATAGGAGGATTTCGTTATAAATTACCGAACACTTGAATTTTGTTTTAGTCGAAACGTGTTGAAAGCTTATTTATGGCACCTAAAATGACTATTGATTGAATTAATATTGAGTACTTTACTATTAAATAACTGACAATTTTTGACCTGTAGAAAATGGAAACGATCAACAGTAGTATAAAACAGCAAGGGGCAGAGAGATCTTTTACTTTACACACGTCAATACAAAATGTATATAAACCTTGAAAGGGCTTTGAGCGCGAGCAAAGTGGTTCCCACTACCAGTATAAAGTCTTTGGCGAAAATAAAAAAAAAGAATTGCGTCATCTGGTGCAAAGAAATTAAAAAAAAAAATACATTATGTTGCATAAAATTTTATAAAAGCCTACACTTAAGCAACTCAGATTAATTTTTTTGTATCTAACCATACGTTTTTACCAAACAAAACAGCATTCAATTGTATGTGCCCTCTAAACAAAATAACCGCTTATTTGACCATAGCGGAGCGGTTAAAGGTGCGAACTTCCACTAGGTAGGACCAAAATTCAATCCCTGGCAAGAGCAAACTCCAACAAAAAAAAAGTTTGCGTAGAGCGGCTCGGTTAAAGAGGTAGAAAATATTATTACTTGTTTATAAATATCTTATCTGCCTGCTTTTCGTCTTCGGCAAGAACTGCCGTTGAGAGCGAATGGTAAAGTTGAATAGACAGACTTTAATACCATTTCAATCTTTAGCCTTGGTTCAGAGCTGAATGATAAAGTCAGCAGCAATATCCGGTCGGGAAACTACTCCTAAGCTTAAACCTGCATCTAAAGGACTACTGTGGCATTTTCTAAGCTCGTTTAGGAGATTTGAAGAAGGCTGCTCATCTGTGCGAGGATATTCCAAAACCATCTACTCTGAAAACCAGGCTATAATGCAACAATACCTCTCCTCTGCGAATGTAGCAACTACGCAATGCACAAAGAATGTAGTCTGGGTTCCGGCCACAGAAATATCTTTGGAAACAGCTTTGCGAACAAGCTGGTAAGGAAGGTAAGTAGTATATAGTTATTCATTTCTGTCCAAATGCCGTCAAACAAACTAACTTCAAACGAACTATGGCTCATATCTGCTTTAACAAGTTTGTAATTAACTATTATATATCGGGATTTTCGGGGCTACTTAGGGATTTTCGGGACTATTTCGGGATATTCGAAGCTACCTTGAAATTTTCGGGATTCTTGGGGCTGTATCGGGATCTTCGGAACTACATACATACTTTGGGATTCATGAAACTCTTTTGAGATTTTCGACACTACTCCGGGATTTTTGGGATTCTCGAGACTATATTCTAATTGTAGGGACTATTTCGGGATTTTCGAGACTACTTCCAGTTTGCCGAGACATGTTCGAGATTTTCGAAACTGCTTTGATAAAAATTATCGATACATTTATCGATATCAATATTTATAAATATATCGACAACAATATCGATAAATATAGCGATAAATATATTCGTTAATATCGGCAGGCATTCGCAAATCGGAGGAGAAGCTCGGCCAAACACTAACATATGTTTCAGCGCCAATCTATTATCACTATCAAGGCCGTATTTAAGGGGGAGGGGATTGTAAGTGTTCTGAGTGGCGATTGACTGACGACTGCCTAAGCAGATTTGACAAGCGAGTTGATGAATCGCTGCGGGAGGTGTGAAGAGTGTAGCGGGGAAATAATACTCGACCAAGTAAACAAAATGAGTTTCTAATGACTGCCTCTCCAGTTTGCTCGACCGATGACTTGGTCGATTACTCGCCAAACTGTTTATATGGTTACAATGTCATCACCACTGGAAAACTTCAGATTTATGACCGAAAATATTGTACACATTGCTGACCGCAATAAGTTACAACAAATAAATGACTAAAAGTTGTTAAAAGCTAAGTGAGTACAAGAAAGAGCATAAAATGAATCTAAAAATATTCTAGCTAAACCCATAAATGTACTGGCAACCGAATGAAGTAAAATTTGTTGTAAAATTACAAATACATTTATATTTAACGTGTTTAAGTTGCAAGCGAACACAAAAGCTAAATCGTGCACCGCATAAACCACCTACGGATATTTTTCCACTTGAATAAACAGAAATAAGGTGAATCGGAAATGAGGTTTTTTGAGCAGGTAGTAAAAGGGAAGTATCTGGCGATTAGTTAGCTATTTTGGCTAAGAAAAAAATCATTATTTCGCCTAATGGCATATATTGCTTCTCATCCTATGGCCACTTTAATCTTCTCACACAGCAGACGATCAAAGAATTGACCACAACCTAAACTGCCACTGCCACAGCTACTTTATTATTATTTTGACTGGCTTGGCGCTATAAACACATCGAAACGCTGCAAATAGTAGAGCCCGCCAGCAATTCAATTGACTGCAGTCACTGCTTTTTTCTGATTTGATTTTTACTACCCACTCGAATGCATATGTGGCTAACATTAACATGGCCACTATCGACTTTACGACTAAAGCAACAAAGTCACAGTGGCAGCAGCAATGACAGCAGCAAAGGCCACTGAGCAGTGCATGTAAATATGTCCAACAGCGGTGAAAAAGTTTCACAACTCCGCACAATCAGGAGTCCATACAGTGGTTGCGACGACGTCGGAGATTTTTGGGAAGTTTTATATCACCGCGTGCTGTGATTGCAGGAGTTCAGTTGCCGATCGCAGGCGTAGTGGGCGAATGAGCAACTAAAGTGCTTTGACTACTCGCTGCCTTTTAGTTTTATTTTCCCTGTTTTTCGTACACAATCATTTGCTCTTTTCAATGCTTACCCTTTTTTTGTGTAATTCATACCTAAATTTTGCTTTTTTGTTTGTAGTTGTGTCTGCAATCACGCCAAGCCCTTGAGTGATTTTCTTTGCGGTGCGCAAAAACTTTGGTTCAACTAACATTCAGCACTTCAGTGGATATTTGTGCGGATGTTGGGCGACCAAAAGTAGTAATTTCACAAACACACTTATGAATGTGCACACGTACATATGTACATACGGCTACATTTGTGTGTGCGAACATTGGGCAAGGGTCATTAAACAATTACGAGAATACAATGTAATGGAACTGACTACATTAATATATACTAAGTGTATACGCTCACAACCATATTCGAGCGCTTTCAAGTATCCTTTGCAAGTTTGGTTGCTTTGGTACTTTTATTTTCGGGCATAAAGTCCACATGGAAGGCAAAGTTGGGAGCAAATTGCAAATTGAAAATGTCCAGCAAATGGAAAAGAGTAATTTGTAAAGTACTTAGTTACTTGGAGCAGTAATTGAAACGAACACGTATTTTGAAATTCAACCATTTATAGGTTTTCTATTACTTGTACTTCATTTTTTATGGCTCCAAAAATCATTTATGAGCATGAGCCGAGAGCAGAAGAGAAGGTAATTCTTTGCGAATTTTCGACGGCTTCACATAAGAATTGCTGAGGGATAATTCTAAAATTGGTCTTTCCATTTTGTTCGCGGGCGCGCTTGCTTTCGTTGTCCACCAATCGTGCTTGGTCGAAGGATCTATTTATACCCTTAAATATGTCTGCCGACAGCTGTAGCTAAGTGAACCTTCACTCGGTAGGACTAAGGCTCGATCCATGCGGAGAGCAGTATAAAATGGATAAATTTTTTTCTAACAGCGACAGCCAATGGAAACCCCCTTAGTCTATTTATGTGTTATGAAAAAGCTTCTGTAAGAAGTGATACCTCAATATAGTATTCTTGACGCCTGTTGCCAGATTTCGTTCATACCCACTTAGATGTACATATTTGGCAATTAAAAAAAAAACCTTCAAACACATAAAAAGACAATTTAAAGGAGTAAAAAAACATCACTTAATCGCCTAGCTTCCGATATGTTTGCCAGCAGACACTTAACAACCTGGTGTGCGCTCAAGTGTAGGGTAGCAATGTAACCACTTGAAAGGAGGTCACACATTAGCAAATGACACAAGGGCACACAAATACATTACTATCTCTAAATACATACATACTGCGGGGTAGGTATTCGTGATGAGCACTCAAGCATAACCCTTCCATTTGTCTTATATATGCATGGATGTGCACCTACCTCTCCGTACCTATACATTGTATGTAAACATAAAAAAATAGACACACAGTGTACTTTAAAAATATGTCCTTACACAAGCTGTCTCTTCAAGCCGAAATAGCTACAATCTTTCCTTCAACTAACACTCTTTCACCGTTCGCTCGCACGCCACTTGGCATGCTGTCAAAATCTCAAAATTGTCTTAACCTCAAAAATGAACCCACTTCATACGCCATTAAATCTCAACTCGTGAGCGACCTCAACGCATTAAGGCGAGTAGAGGTAGTAGTAAGCAGAGCTCACTTGTTTGCGCAAAATGCAAAAGGAGGCACGACGAGCACAATGTGTGAAGCAGTCGGTCAGGCGCAACAACCTACATATGTACATGAGTACGTACGCACTTATGTTTGTATATAAGTAGCCCGGTACTGCGGGAAGTCGGTGAGTGATGATGGGTTCGTTGAAAAGGATGCTATATATTCGCCTGTGTCTGTTAGTGGTGGAAATAAGCGCTGTGGCATGGGACGAGTGTAAAATTCAACCTGTATGGGTAGCGCCGTTGGCAGTAATCGGCATGCGTTTAGTTTCGTTTCGATGCTACATAGAAAATAGCAATAAATATTATTTCAGTTCTTTCCACGCAATTACTTGCAAGCGGAAAGAATGCGGTAATATGTAGTCTAACTAAATTTGTGTCTATATTATTTTTCTAGTGTAAAAGCAAAGTACATAAAAATAAGTTTGTAAGCAGCATTTCTTTAGATATATTAGAAGATAGGGTTACAAGGGGATATATCGGTGCCTATGGGTATGCACCTGACTATACGTGATTCCTCATTTAGGTCGGAGTTTGCGCACCTTGGGCAACGTGTGCAACCCCTGTGTCAGATGCGATAAAAAATCCATGTGAAGCCTTGGATCACGGAACGAAGAAGTGAACAGTAGTTTGCCGCTTATGTCCACCAAGAGGGGGATGTGACCACTTTCTTTTTATGACCACCGCGACGAATATTTAAAGGCACTATGATGTAAGGATGTGTACCTGGAACGTCCGCACCTTAATGATGCCTCTGTCGGCTGGTAGATATTCTCAGAGAAACTAAGGCTGGTGTCGAAGAATGTGGCCTGGCATGGTAGGCAGGAAATAGACCTTGCGAGGTCCACAATGCAGTTCCATGTAAAAGAGCGAAATTCAGTTTGGGATTTGTGATGGGCTAGAGACTCTGTGGCCGGGTATTCTCGTTCATCACAAGGAAAGAGCATCTCCTTAAAGTCTGTATCAAAGCCAGAATCTTCAACATTTTGTTAATTTGCGACCGCATCCGGCGGAAACGAATGTCGAAGCAGCCAAAGACCACTTGGAGAGTCCTTAAATTCAGCCTCCACAGCGAAACGTACAATAACAGAGTAAGGCTGATCGAATTTTTCGGAGCCTGAAACAGCACTAAGTTTCAGCAACTTCTTATGAAACAAACCTTCATATGAAGACGAATGCATTTTAACTGCATTGCATCGCATTCCTCTACCCTCACGTATGTCAGATTGGCCGCAACGCAAGCAATTCGTCTTCGATTTCACTTTCATTTTCTTCCCACTCTGTCTGAAACCTAAGAAACCCACAGGCTTCTCTGCAGCAACAAATTAGCGTTCTGCTACACAAGAAAAGCTCAAAGCTGTAACCTACCCCCTGAAAGCACTATTTAACTAGCCAGGAAATGTCTAAACATCACCTTCATAGCGCAGCTTCCATGCTTCTCATCCGGAAAGAAAAATTTTATGGAAAAGTTGGGTTATTTGCTCTAAGAGACATCTTTACAAACTCGCGATCGGGGCCTATAGCCCTATTAGAGATGGACACGGGACTAAATGTTCAATCCCCAACCCTCCTATCTCGAAATTTAATTTTTAAGTCCCAAACCCTCCCATCCCTTAGTTTTTCTGAATTATACCGTAGGTCCCGTGGGTCCCGAAATCTATAACTACGAAAAATTCACATTTCTTTCAAATTAAATTAAAAAAAAGAAATAATGAAAGATCAGCATCTTCCGATTACTTTTGGTAGGATAGCCGTAAATAAATAAAAACACTCCTCTGCCTGCATCAACAAGAAATACAGAAATTTATGAATTTATTCAGAGGTTAATGTCACAAAGTTTTATTTTTTAATATTTCTTTCGTTGGCGTCTGTTCGCGTGTCGGATAAAAGACGAAGACTATTCGCATTCTATGCCAGAGTTGCCATGACCTTACACTTTCTTTTGTTTCGCTGTTCGTTTTAAGCTCAATAAAAAATAACTTTCAACGTTTTTAAGAAAGATTTTCTGAATATGCGGAGGATGCGAGTTTTATCGGGAGTGTCCGGAAAGGATTTGGGTTCTAATATGGCGCCCAACCAGCTGCGTGAAAGGAACTCTAACTGCCAATTTTAATGAAACTTCATTACGTATCTTTAGAAAAAGAAAAAAACATGGTTCGGTTCTGTTCTATGAAAACAATTATTCGCTGAATTTTAATACACATCAAAATACATAAATAAATACACATCTAAATCGAAAGATCTAAATGGGGTTTTGACCTAAAAGTTAACCCTTTAGTCCACTCTAAATAAACTGATGAGTGGTAAAAATTTCGCTTGGAAATATTCCTCTTTGTTAAAAACCCAAAATGATTGCTCGACTGTGTTATCAGCTCTCGCAATCAAGAAGTTTTCAGAGGCTACGATTTTCAAATGTTTTCCAAAAATTAACGAATTTATAAAAGAAAAATAAGAATGCCATCACAAACACCAAAACTTTCCCTTTTTAATCCTTTGCCAAATCATGCCACATTCGTTGAATCTAAACAGCAAAAATAAAATGTCAACGCAATAGCTTATTTTTCACCACCAAAAGTTGACCCCCATTTAATGCAACATTGCCTTCCCACCCAGAACAATTTGTAATCATTACTTACCAATTGTTTTTGCAGACTCGCAGCATCGCCCATCAGCGGACCAACGCTCAGCGACGATTGTTCGGTGTCTTTGCGTATAACCCATTCGGTGAGTTCGCGTAGTGACAACAACAACGCATTCCAATGTTCCGAATTCGACTCCAAGCGATTCCTGTGAAAAAAAATAAAAAAATAAAGAAATATAAAATTGTAGTAATTGTAAGAAGAAGGGATGCTTGTTAGCGCGAGCAATAAAAAAATGCTAAAATGCTAATAACAATATAATTTGGGAAAAATGATACGCTGCAAAGAATTTTGATCTAGCAACACCGGAGAGCGGGCGTAGCGTTGGAATAAAAAAATTTCACTTAAGTATTTTGCTTGAGAAGAAAGTATTGTAAGTAAACGAATTTATGTAAATTGTAGCTGTGCATTTAAATCTAATTTGCCTCAATAAAAAGCGTGTCAAATGTAGTAAAAAGATGAAAAGGACACACAAATCGGGCAATTTGTCACTGGTGTCTACTTCAATTTTGTTACAATTGAGTTTAGAAATTTTATTTTGACCAATTTTAGTACGAGTACGGCTGTTATGAATTTAAGAATATTTTAGTAAAACTTTGCTAAAACTCAATCTCGCGCAGTTTGTTCGTTATCCTAAATACGATAAACTCACAATTTCGCGACATCTAAAAACGCTGCTTTTGTGGTGGTGCTGGTGATTAGCAAACCCCAAAAAGAAGAGGCTTCCTTATGACGATGGCTGACAAACCATTTTCCGGCTTATGCTAGCGACCACCATTTCCAAATCCAACGTTATTACACACGCCCATCGCGCCGAAAATCCCAGTTTCCATCTTTCTAGTTTCAGGACCGGGTAAAGTTGTCACATGACCCTTGCCGTGGATAATCCTGGTTGGGGATTTAAAAACAAAGGCATGTTCTATTGATTTATTTTAAGATTTTTGAGCCTTTTTGCTTTGACGACGATGATGATTAAGCGATGGCTGCATGAGCCTTAAAATGGCATGTGTACAACTGGACGCAAACGCTCCAGCCGCGATAGAAGAATAAATAGAAGAGGAATATGAAAACCTTAACTGCGATGGAAAGATCAGGTGGATTAAAATTCGGCATTACCAATTAGGGCTGTTGACACAAAGGAGAACACTCACCGAAAAGCATCTCAGGAGCTTGCTGTGAGTAGTCAAGAGGTTAGCTTGATGACCGGAGCTCGGCTCCAAGACTTCACGAGGACACACACATCTAAAGCCACCCATCCAGACTGACATATCACATCACAAACTCTATGCCGTCAGTCCACCTTACCGATCAGAACTCGAAGGAGGGAACAAGAGGATATCGTGTCATCGAGATTATTTCGATTTTCAACACCGAGTTTTAGGGAAAATCGCTGGTTTTTAAGAGCTAATTACGGACATAATCTTTCGCTGAGATAGCAAAAGATTAGAAGATCTTGGACGTCATAGACGAAAGCAATTACTGGTTGTAGGGGTGCATAAAGCTCGTTGTCTATGACGGTAGTTGGTCTGTACTAAGATGCGATAAATTAGCCTGAGACCGGACAGAAGCTCATGCGAAAGTTGTTGAACATAGAGATATCCCAAGACGAGATTTTGAGATTCGACCTCACCATCACCTAGCAGAAAACTTGGGGATATTCTAAAACTACAGGGAAAGCATGTCTAAAAATGGCGAGGAGCCATGCAGGTAGTCTTGTTTTTTGATAACGGATGCGTAGACATTATAGCGAAGAGTGACCACAAGGCCAGCCGTTGCTTCGGGAATATTACACTCAAGGTCTAAAACATGGACATCGAACTTAGCAGCTTTGAAATGGACATCAATTATGGCAAGTCCAATTACAACCAAATGGATACTTATCATTTAACTCAGAAGAAGCTCCGAAAAAGCTGAAAAGCCATGGGTTCCTGTCAACAGGAGGTGTAAGTTGATGGCTTCTAAATATGCCCACTTTAGTGCTATAGAAGAGAAAACCCTATGACTGCAAATTACAACGTAGGCCAGTATTAAGCTTCAGAAAAGAAAATACAGACTGAACATTAGGTTGGGCCGATTTTGTATGGGGGAAAATAAAAGTCATTTGACCGCATTGTAATAGTAATATTATGATGTCTTAGGTCTCAGCCAATTGTTATTGGCCACGAAAGATTAATTTAAAACTTATCTTTAGCCCGGGCAATTGAATCAAAGTGTATGCATTTTGAAAATGAAACTTTGGCTTATAATATCTATGGAATGCGTTATTGTTATTAACAGGACGATATATCAAATTAAGGGCTATTAAATTTAGAACCTGACGTTCATTTATCATTTTTCAATAAGTCTACGTTTTTAAGACATTAAAATAAAAAATAAGAAAACTATGATTTTCCCTTATGAATTTTCAATTCTTCATTACTTTAGGAACCAAGTGAAAAATCCAAAAAAGTGAGATGTGGTTTATTTCAAACCTTTGAATGTTTTCGGGTGTTTATATAATATTAAAATGAACATGGACTTTATCACGCCGATTTGGTCAGTTTTCAAGATCGTGGTGAATGAATGTATTG